CCATCTGGCACCAACAACCATGCCAAGTTCAAAGTCACTTAAATCCCCTTTCTTCCCCATTCTGATGCTCAGTTTGAACGTCTGCAAGTCATCTTTACCAAATCTAGATGTCTAGATGCACTGCCATGTGATTGGCTGATTAGCAATTTGTGTTACCAAGCAATTAAACAGGTGTAGCTAATAAGAGGCCATTGAATATATATGATAAACCTCTAGCACAGGGCTTGACAAATCCCAAGTGTCAGCTTGACACGGCGACCAGAAACTGCATCCCAGTGCTTGGGTCCCCATCAGCCCATCCGGGACAATGGGTGGGGGACAAAAGTGTCAGAGAAGAGAGCCGGGAGGTGTGGCCTCTGTGTGCTCTCTCCCATCCTGTCAGTGGAGCGCTCCTCCATAGAGCAGATTACACAGCATCGCTCTTAGCGCGAATGGTATACAGCTTAATTACCCGCCCCCTACCCACATTTCAAGGAGTTAAGCAGTCTTTGGAGGAGATGGGGGGGGCGAGTAATCAAGCCTTGTACTGTCCGATGTAAGAGCAGTCCAGTGTAATCTGAAGTGCTGTTATGACAGTAGAGGACAGAGACCCCGCACATCCTCACTACTCCTGTAGTTCCTGCATATAAAGATTAGAAAGGATGGGGGGTGGAGGGGGGGGCGCGTGTGCTGGGAAGAGAAAGGTAATGGGGGGGAGGAGAGGAATTTGTATTAGACGGAGGGAGGGGGTTTGCGTGTTTGAAGGCAGTATTGGGGAGGATTCTGCTTGTAGGGGTGAATTGGGGGGGGGATGTAAGCTGGAAGGGCAATTTGCAGAGTGTTGTGCTAAGAGGAGGGATTTAGGGGGATTTCTACTAGGAGGGGTGATTATTGTGCTGGGATTGGGGTGGGATTTGTGCTGGGGGGGAAGGGAGAGGGATAATGTACGCTAGGAGTGGGGATTTGGGGGAGAGGATTCGTGCTAGGAGGGGGAGGATTCGTGCTAGGAGGGGGCATTTGGGGGAGAGGATTCGTGCTAGGAGGGGGCAGGGGGGGGAGAGGATTCCCCGCTTAGGAGGGGGCATTGGAGGAGAGGATTCGTGCTAGGAGGGGGCATTTGGGGGAGAGGATTCGTGCTAGGAGGGGGCATTTGGGGGAGAGGATTCGTGCTAGGAGGGGGCATTTGGGGGAGAGGATTCGTGCTAGGAGGGGGCATTTGGGGGAGAGGATTCGTGCTAGGAGGGGGCATTTGGGGGGGGCAGGGGGAGAGGATTCGTGCTAGGAGGGGCATTTGGGGGAGAGGATTCGTGCTAAGAGGGGGCATTTGGGGGAGAGGATTCGTGCTAAGGGGGGCATTTGGGGAAGAGGATTTTGCTAAGAGGGGGCACTTGGGGGAAGAGGATTCGTGCTAAGAGGGGGCACTTGGGGAAGAGGATTCGTGCTAAGAGGGGGCACTTGGGGAAGAGGATTCGTGCTAAGAGGGAGCATTTGGGGGGGGGGGGGGGGGGGGGGGGGGAGGATGCTAGGAGTGGGGGATCTAGGGGAGAGTATTTGCGCTAGGAGTGGGGATCTAGGGGAGAGTTTATTTGGGGATCTAGGAGAGTATTTGCGCTAGGAGTTTTGGGGAGAGGATTTGCGCTAGGAGTAGGGGATTTGGGGGAGAGGATTTGCGCTAGGAGTGGGGATTTAGGATGAGAGGATTTGCGCTAGGAGTGGGGATTTGGGGAGAGGATTTACTCTATGAATGGGGATTTAGGGGTATTTTTACTAGGAGGGGTGATTTGTGCTGGCGGGGGTAGGGAGAGGGATAATGTACGCTAGGAGTGGGGATTTGGGGGAGGATTTGCGCTAGGAGTGGGGATTTAGGGGAGAGGATTTGCGCTAGGATTGGGGATTTAGGGGAGAGGATTTGCGCTAGGAGTGGGGATTTAGGGGAGAGGATTTGCGCTAGGAGTGGGGATTTAGGGCAGAGGATTTACGATAGGAGTGGGGATTTGGGGCAGAGGATTAGCTTAGGTGGGGTGGGATTTGGGGGGGGGGATTTATGCTATTAGTGGGGGTTTAACGCTCGGAGGGGGGATTTGGGGGAAAACTGACTCCCAATTTCTTTAGCTGGCTCCTAGATTCAAATCAAATTTGTCAAACACTGCTCTAGCATACTGTATCTTACAGGTATAATCAGCACAGGGCTGGTAAGAAAGCCAAGAAGACAAGTACCCATAGAGCTGTACTTGGCTTTACAAACAGGACCTGGTACTCTCAGACAGTCAGAAGAGCATCAATTTAATGCTGCACATACTGTACTTAAGTCTTTACAACAATGCGTTGCTTGCAAAATCTAAATCACAAGACACAGACATTTCATGATGATCCATAACCATCGCAAAAGACATTACTAAAGCTCAGACCAGCAAACACCACATATGCATCACTATACTGCAGGAAAATACAGTAACACCACTTAAACTGCTACCTATGTATTGTTTCCTGTACCCACCTAACAATGGAGCTGGTGCTGTATTAACATAGCTACTCAATTCCTTAAGGGCTGGTTCACAACAGATGCATCCAGTGCGTTTTTTATTCTGCATCAAAAACCGCATGGACAGTGTTTAACATGGATTCCAATGGCCCTAGTTCCCACCAGTGTTGCATTTTTTCTTAGGGAACACATCCAGAATGTGGCAAAATGCACTGGAATGCACATGTCCTTAATTGAGATCAAGGAAAAGAGGGGAAAAACGCACTGGGATGCATCAAAAAAACACATACAGAAACAAATCTGGAACGCAAACATTGTGGTGTGAATTGACCCTTACGTTGAAGGCAGCCTACCCTCCACTGCAACAACCTGCATTAAATGTTACATAATTTATCCAAAAGAAGGCAGGTTAAAATACTTCGCTGTGCAGAAAAAAAAAAATTCTCGAACCCACAGATAAAGAGCACACAACTACTATTTACCTCATGCAGATCTTTAACTGTTTTCATGTTTCAAATTCCACGCTTTTCTTAAAATCACATACAGGTAGAGTATTTAGTCATTATGCCAATATTTTTCAAGTTACTTAAGTCATAAGCAGCTACATTTAACAAGTGGTTGTGTTATTGAAGTTAACAGATAAAACCACAATGAGTGCTAACATTGTAGAGGTGAAAAAAATAGATCAATCACACAGATAGGCATTTCTTTTTTCCTAGAGGAAAAGAGAGCAATCCATTCACCTCATGGTTATAAAATTACTCAAGTCAAACCTAAAAGCTGCACTAGTTTCAGTGGTCTGGTAATTCCTACATTGACAGAATGATCTCTAATTTCTTTAAAGTACAGATGTCTTGTTACCCCAACACCTGGTAGCCTCTGGATACTTGTTCTTACAAAGATATCAAATCCACAAACTGAAATTTAAAGTGGTTGTAAAGGCTAAAGTGCTGTGCTGCTCTCCCTCTCTCCTCATAGGTTTCTGCTGCTGTAAGTCAAAGCCAGTGGGCAGCAAGGGGGGGTTGAGGTAGAGCTGCACTGTGTGTGTATGGACACAGAGCTGACTCAAGAGCGAGCCTGCATGTCTGCCCCCATAGCAAGTGCTTGTTATGAGGGCAGACACTGAAGGAGGAGCATACAGTGCCGACAGGGGACGCCAGAAGAGGAGGATCGGGCTGCATTGTACAAAACCATTAAGTATAACAAGTTTTAAAAAAAGAAAACAAACAGAACCTTTACAATCACTGTAGTCTAAAATCATGTTTAGGTACAAGGATAAATATTTATCATTTATACATGATCACTTCAGAATTCTTTGAATTATGATACAAGGATCATACCAAATGCCATAACCAAGCAATTATCAAGCCCTGGTTTACACTGGATCAGACTTTGAAATCGTGCGACTTCATGCACAGATGTATATGCAAGTCACACCTGATATTCCCCAAAAGTAGTGCAGGAACTACTTTCAAAATCAGTGCAACTCCAGAGTTGGAGTCGCTTCCGATTTGAACGGTTCAATTGCAGGAAATAGGGTGCAACTTGTCATGCGATTTGAAACTGTCAAATAGCATGACAAGTCGCACCTATGTGAACTAGGGCTAAAAGAAAGTTATCAGCAGAATGTACAAATGTACCAAGCAACAAATGCTGTAAATAACTGCATAGTTATGCCTTAGTGACACGCAAGTTGAAGACCTGCATTCTTTTTTTTATTTACTTATAATACATTTGCAGCTTTTTAGCAAACGTGCATGCATGAAATAATCACTATTTCTGCTGTTGCTCCAAATACCCTTGTAGGCTCTTTTTTTAATGCTACCATTATATTTCAGTGATGGCACAACCCTTAGATAAAAAATTTTATTAATTCTAGCCAACTAGCAAAGAATAGAAGATATCGTATCTAGGCATACTTCATGGAAACAGTCTTCTGAAAGTAAACCGATTTAAAACAGCTACAATTTAAGGATATCTAAAGAGTGGAAAAGCAAAAAGGAGCTTACAATAACCTCTATGAACAGGTATTGTTAGATGGGATATCAAAAAGAATAGCAAGAGTCACTTTAAGCCAGTCTTCACTGGACTAAAGGGGATTACCTTGGTGAGGATCTAAAATTGACCCATTTAGCCAAACTAGAAACTATTAGTGCAGTCAAAATGTTAAAAACCGATTCACACATCTGCCAGTGGTAAATGTTTGCAAAATTGTGCACGTTCCTCACCCACAGAGAAACACACTGCACTTTAGTAGACGCATGGGGGTGCCAATCATTTTTAATAGCAATCCATGCATTGGAAACTGCAGCGTGCAATCTACACTGTGTGGTGCCGCAGCACCATCAAATTCTGCATGGCATGATTTTAATAAAGGGGTCACGGACCTTTACTTCTTCATTTCTGTGGATAGGGCAGCCCCTTGAAATGATTGTGCTGCCTACACGCATAACGCAACCTGCAGTAATGTGAATGGAGTCTTATATTGTTTAGAAAAATAATTGGAGAAAGGGAGGGTAGTCACAGAAAAGCCTCTTACCTCACTACTTTGGTTCATCTCAGGCCATGTCTGATTCAAAGATGGCATTGAGGGAGATTTACTAGGTGGAGGTTCTGCAGGAGAACTTGTAAATCCTACATCACTGGACTGATCTCCAGCTAAGAAAAAAAATAACACAGCACTTAATCCAGTCTTTGAAACAGTCATCATCGCCCTTTAAATACACCCTTTTCTATGTTTCGAGAACAGAGAATGTATTCCATTGGGTTTTTTTTTAATCCCTTCACATAAAGTGAAAGGGTAAGTGTAGGAAACAGCTGAAAGATCTGGAGATGTGTATAGCATGATTTGTTAGTGTTCCCTGAGAATCAGTTTGAGAAAACCTCATTAAACAACAAGCAAACAATAACCTACTTAAAGTAAACCTGCCTTGACAGAATATGGAGTATGCCACTGTTGACCTATTTTTTTAAATGCTAGTAACCAGGTTATTTTGCGAATTTAATGGATATGCTTTGAATCATTAATCTATAACAAACATGGAATGATTTAGTTAAATTAGGATCAGCGACTTAAAAAGTACCAAAGCTGTTGAATCAGAAACACAGCTAGGTAAGTAGTATCTTCTGAAGTGGATGTCAGCAGTAAGAACTTTTATTCCTTTGTGCAAAGCGCAATTCTGAATGTGTGTGTGTCCTCAAGATACCTTTCTTCGCAAAGATTGCATGCAAAGCAGTGTATTTACCGCAAGGCCTAGGGCAGCACTTGAACTAAATACACCACTGTGCATGCATGTACTGTAGTTGTCCATACAGTGCAAAATATGGACATTTAAACACAATGTGGCACTCCATCCTTTAGGATGTATGAAACCTTGTAATACTTGGTAAAACCAAGCCCTCTTTAAATATAAATATTTTGACAATAAATGAAAAAAAAAAAAAAAAAAAAAAAAAAAAAAAACTGTCCTCAAAACTGATTATTCATGACCACTAAGTAAAGTACCTACAGATATGAGAAAATATGTATTATAGTTTTTATCCTTGGGTTGAAAAAGGTTTGTATGCACAAAGGCTTTACCTCACAACTGCTGGCTGAGCCTTCTCAGGTTGGGAATAGATCAGCAGGATGTATTTTTTTTTCAGCCCCGTTAATACTATTCTACCTGCAGTACTAAAAGCATGGTAATAGACATAAAGGGGTGGGATCTGTGTCCCCTAACCACTTTAGGACTGGCCGCTGTCAATGTGCTTTGTTAGGCCAAGCAAACATACCTATGTGTCATACTCACTTTGGTGTGTGTGTGCATGTGCACAAAGTTGATGCTCCTGCTTTCATATAGCAGATAACATTGGCTAAAGGCACAGAGCTGACTAGAGTGGCTCTGTGCTTTGTGATTGCTGTTATGGCCAATGACTGATTAAAGTTGGTGGTGGTGGTTGGGAGGTTTAAAGGTTCAGTGACCACCAATGTTATGGGATTGTTTTGGATGGTATTTAATAGCACTGGCTACTAATGTTATGGGACTGGGAGAAGTTTAAGTGCCGCTGACCACCAATAACTGTGGGATTGTTGCAGATGGGCGTGGGGTTTTGGATGGAGGATGTTAAGTGCCACTGACCAACAATAACTGCCTAGACTAAGGATGTCACTGCTAGAGGCTACAGGCCCATCCATGAGTTTTAAGGTGGTGCATACCATCTTAATAGGAGCCGAGATGGTCTCTAAGTTTAGGAGCAATGGAAGAAATTTGTGACTCTTCAGGTGTAGGGTCATCTGTTAAGGACTTAAGACTTCACATCCGACAAGCATTTTGGCAGGTGAAGTCTCAGAAGCTGTGCCAGGTCAGATAAGGATCCCTCAGAGGAAGGTTTAGAAAAAAAAAAAAAAAAAGCTAAAGGGCCCCTGCAATCAATCAGAGTCAGCAGTCAAATGTGCTATTTGGCATATAAAATCCTACATGACTGCGTGAAATACTCCTAGAATGGAGTGAATTAGGCATTCATGCCCAACAGAGCCAAGGAAGATTCTGATGACAGACTAGCAAAGAACAAAACTCTGGGTTTTCAGTGCCAGGGACCTTATGGAGCACACTGCAAGCAAGAATGGAGACACTAGTGTAGCGTGAGCTGAAGGCACCCAATATAGCTGGACTTTCCCCATGTGTCTGGAAGCTATGCTGCGTAGAAAACTTTACATTTTGGCTCAGGGTACAAAGGTAAGCCTCAAATACTCAGAAACCTGGCTGTTTGGTACCAGGAGTAGGGTCAAGGTGCTGAAAGAGACCAGGGTCACTGTAAGCTTGTACTTGCAAGATAAACAAATCAAGAAAAATTCTATGTGTCATTTACAATCACAAGTAGCAGCAGGAAGATGCTTCCTCAATGCTTAATAGCTGAAAAGAATATACAGTACACGTGTGTGACACTACACCTAGGTGAGGATGACAAAATCTCAGTTCCAAAGCACTAATCCGTTGTGTGGTGAACAAACAAAGCGAGTCTGCAGAGACATAAGTCTCATAACTGGGCCTGAGTCTTGGCTTTGGACCAGAAGTGTGCTCCATGGCTAACTTACACAGTATATTCTGGTCTGGAAAGCACTACAATGCAGAGCCCCCTGCCCGAAGGTCACATTCCAGGCTAGCACCACAATATCCAGTCCAGCAGGGTCCGGGTACGGCACTCATAACACAAGCTTAAGAAAAATCTGGATAGCTGTGTATAGAAATCAGCTCAGCAGCCATGTAGAAGGAATCTTAATTGAAGAAAAAAAGGTAGCTAGCAAAAAAGCTGAGCAAGTCTCCACCCCCTAGGACACTAGCAAAAAACTTCCAATCCTCTCCTCCTGCAGGTGACAGCATAACCAGACAGTATCTGAATTACTGTGTCACTCAAAGAACAAGATATTTTTTTTTTTTTTTTTTTTACAATGGCCACCATCACAGGAAGTCTCCACATGCACAATATTAACAAGTGAAAGTTTTAGCTTTTTATGTCTTTTATTCATGGGGTGTTATACAGAAATGAAAGTTTTGTTGTTATGGGGTACTGAGTGTAGAATGCAACATAACAAAATCGAAAAGAGTAAAGGGGTCTGAATACTTTATGTAACTTGAGGTAGGTAAATGAACATGCAGACAGGCATTTTGGGTGTCCACAGATGCCATTTATTCTCCTAGTCTGAGAAAGACAATTATTGACCTTACAGATTCCGTGCAAGATATTCATTGATGGAAAAGCAAGTCCAGAAAAGGACAAGTGCTCCCACTGGGCTTTGGTATCCTGAACAGGTTTGTGTAGAATCCTTTGAACCAGTTTTGTCTGATTTGAAAGAAAAAAGCAATGAAGTGGTAAAGTTTTGAACTCTGTCTTTTACCCCTTTGAAACCACTGACTCAGCCCACAGGTCTGGGATGTCTGTTGCACAGACTCTAGGAGTGAGGATGCCCCTTCATTGCCAAGCTTGTTTTGGAAAAGGTTTGGTGGCTTTTGTCAGCCAAGCCTTGTGCCAAAAAGAAGGGCTGAACTTAGGTTTTGAAAATGAAGCCTGGTTAGAGCAGACAGATACTCTGCATTTACAAGACCTAGGGGTTCCTGAGTTTTTCTGAGATTCTGTGCATGTGAATGGAGAATAGAACCATTCTGGAAATTTATCTCATAACATGTACTAGGGCATCCACACAACAGAGTAGAATAGAAGGCAAACACTCTAATTGCTCTGAAAAAGAACAGTCCTGAAATATAGGGTCATGTTGGTTGTACAGTCTCGTAAGTACAGTTAGCTACAGTTTGACACACCGAAATTGCAGTGCAAGCTGGTTGCACAGCCAGGCATGCAAGAATAAAGAAAGCGTTTAGGAAAATCTCAAATGTTCTACCTGGAGAACCTGTGAAAGAAAGAACAGCTTCAATAGGTACAGTGAGATGTTTATTTAGGACAAAGAAGACAAGATCAACCACAGAAGTAGCCAGCTTAATTGCAAACTTTTTTCCACTAGATAGAGTTCAGCTAATATTTTGAAGGGAGTAAATATCTTAAGTGACCCAATGTTCATAACCTGCACTTTCCATCTGTTTATGAACAGGGAATGTTTTGTAGGTTTTTGCAGGTCTCTTTGTGCCAAAAGGGGCATGGCGAGACCAAGGATAGTCAGGTTGCACAATGCCAAGGCTTTTGCATACAGAGGCAATGAGCTTTTTAACATTAGCCAGCATGATGCGTGAAGTACCTTGTTCAATATAGTGACAATGTGGTACAGGAAGAGAAACCTTCCACAGCTTCCTTCAATACTGCCTCAATATCAACTTAGTTCCCTTCTATGTCTGTGCCCTCTAGGACCACCATATCAGGTTCTGACTCTGGCTGTGAAACAGGGGTAGGAGAAGTGGGACATTTCTGAGCCATGAACAAAGATGGCTGTAATCTGTCTGAGGAAATCTGACAGATGCAGAAAATTCAGCTTAAGTCAAATAGGCAGCTTGTTGCATGCCTGAAATAGAGTTAGAATTAGAGCCCGACAACGGTGTCAAAACTGGTTCTTGCTCCGGTGTAAGGGACACATCATCACTCTGAGGTTGAGTGTTTTGTGGGGTCTTCGGCAGAGGGACTTTTTGCCTCTTGTTTAGAATTGGATTCCTTTTGCCTTGTTTCCACCATAGCTAAACATGGGTGTGTTCTTCTTTGGGGTGGCAGTGTGGGGGATGGTGTAAGCATGTACGGAAGGATTACACAGTAACCCAGGTGTATGCGGTCCTGAAAAAATCCTTGTGGCAAAAGGACAGGGGAAGCACCCGAAGGAATCTTCAGGGACTGAGTTTCATACCTATGGAAGAGTTAGAAGATGCACACCTATAAACCATGGGGTATGAATAGGTTTTCCTGTGTCCTGTACTGCATGATTATGATAAGAATTTTTAAATGTTCATAGTAACATCTATGCGTGAATTTAAATTTTTCTTTTTTTTTTTTTTAATTTTTGCTGCAATTTAAAATTTTCTGTTGAATGCACTGTAGACAGGCTGAAATTAATCTAATCAGAGTTTAAATTGGTCTAAGCTATAGCAGCTCTCAAAACCCAAGAAACGTCAGTTAAAAAAGTAAAAAGGCAGAGGTTTCTTGTTTTCCCTGAAAGCAAATATATTTTCAAACGTAAAAAGT